ATGCAGAATCACAATCACTAAACACGACACAAACACACCAGTTGGGGTTTGACTGGGGCTGGTGGTTTTAATTCCTCAATAGCTCGTTCACATGGATGTTGGCAAGGGTCTCTCCATAGGGGCTGCTTGAATGTCTTCAGGACTTGGTAGTTTACTTTCCCCAGAGAGAGTGATCCACAAGAGAGGAACCATGCATGATGCCTTTTATGACTTACCCTCAAAAATCGCACATCATTTCCATGGTGTTCTGTTGTTACATTGGCCAGCTCTAGTCAATGTGAGAGGGAGATGGTAAAGGAAGGAGACCCTCATTGTTATACAAAATTACATATAAGAGGAAGTGAGGGGAAAGGGGAAAAAAAACAAGAGAAAGAAATGAATTACAGTAGATGGGGTAGAGAGAGAAGATGGGAGGAGAGGGGAGGGGAGGGGAGGGGGATAGTAGAGGATAGGAAAGGCAGCAGAATACAACAGACACTAGTATGGCARTATGTAAAAAAGTGGATGTGGAACCGATGTGAATCTGCAATATGTATACGGGGTAAAAATGGGAGTTCATAATCTGCTTGAATCAAATGTATGAAATACATTTGTAATGTTTTGAACAAGTAATAATAAAAAAAATGTGAGAGGGAGAAAAAAATACATGGATGGAAGTCATCTTGGAGGCTGACCACCATAGGGTTAAAAAAAATTGGAACTGTAGCAAGGAATTTGACTCTTCACTTTTGTCTGAAAATGTCCAATGAGTGACTAAAAGTAGGATTGAATAMTTGGTATCTCTGCCTCCATTTTGCATCTGTCTCCTCTGCTTTGAGTCATCTGGGTTACCAGGAACAAAGTCTTATCAATTACTATCTTGACTTGAGGGTATTCCCTCCCTTTCAGATAACAGCAACTTTCTATCTCAGACAAGGCCCCGTTCACTAATCCTGAGATAATAGTGGACATACCATATCTGATCAAACTTACCTGGTTTAGCGGCTGTGAAAACCCCCAACCCTGGCCCTCATTCCCCTTTCAATAACACCTTGAAGTTATTGTCAGTCCCTCAAAGAGAGGACTAAGAACGTGGGCCCCCCTGTCTCTCCAGCTACACTGATTAAAATTCCTTTCGTGCTTTTCACCATTACCTTTTCTGTTTGTTTTTGGGGGCGAGTAACTGGACCTGATTGTTTTGGATCCCCAGAGTCAGGCCTCTGGCCTAGCACTCTGGGAAATTCCTCTGTAAACTTTGACTCAAACTGTAGACAAATTAAAGGAAAAGATTTGATCAACTTGGCTCCCTATACATTATGACAAAAAATACTAGGGCAGAGTTTATGACATATGATAAACCTGGAAAAAATGAGCAGATGACCTGGAAAATCTGTCACAAAGGATTAGAGAGTTTTTTGGGTTTTGTTTTGTTTTATATGGGTAAGAAAAAACCTAAGACTATGTAGAAAAATGGGCAAGAGAGCCAGGCACMGTGGTACACACCCAGAGACTTGAAGGTGGAGGTAGGAGGATTTCAAGTTCAAGGCCAGCCTTTAAAACTTAGTGAGGGGGCTGGGCTTGTGGCTCAGTGGTAGAGCACTCTCATGGGCAAGGCCTTGGGTTCCATCCTCAGCACCATATAAAAATAAAATAAATAAATAAAACAAAATTATTAAGTAAAAAACTTAGTGAGGCCCTAAGCAACTTAGTGAAACCCATATCAAAAATAAAGGGCAGGATGGGATTGTAGCTCAGTGTAGAGTGCTTGCCTAACATGTGTGAAGCACAGGGTTCAATTCTCAGCACCACATATAAATAAATAAAGTTCTATCAACAACTAAAAARTGTTAATAATAAAAACTTAAAAATAATAAAAATGGCAGGGGATATAGTTCAGTGGTAAAGTACCCATGGGTTAAGTCCCCAGTACCAAAATTTTAAAAAAGGGCAAGAGATGTGAAAAGACAGTTCATATTTATTTACTTAAGTTATTTACTTAAGGCCATATGGCCAGCAAGTGTTGGATCTGTCTTCAAACCTACCAACATGTGCTCAGGGTGCCCTGCCCTGTTTTTCCTGTGACATGGCACCTTGCCAGCTGCTCCAGGCCTGACAGTAAATGCATACAGCCATCCCCATTGAGCACTACCAATTACCGTGTGACACTAGGTCACAAGAGTGGGTTTATGACAACAGTTGCTCACTTCGTAGCTAAAAACATGTGACTCCTCATTCTTTAAATGATCCACCCTAGTTGTCATTACAATAAGAAATGTTCTTATTTGATATATTAGAACATGCATAACCTTGAATAAAAACAAACAAACTTTCTAAACAGGACATGTTACTGTATTTCAATCTCAAGTTCATCAAGTCCAAACTTATTCCTATTATTCCTTATTTATCAGGTTTTGTCAGTTTGAAAAAGGGGATGGAAAGAGGCTGTGATCTATGGGGCGAGCCATGGAGAGATAACTTCAGTTTGAAAGCTCACTAGTTACAGGTGAGTTTGTTTAACCTGTCCCAAACAAGCCAAGTCACTGGGGATAAACAAAATTCACCAACAGATGACCAGTAACATCCTGTACTCCAAGACTCAGCACATGAAAATAATTTCTCACAATATAATTAAAGAAGAGYTTTAAGAAAATTCTGCTATGGTTTGGATCATGATTCAACTGTGTCCCCCGAGGATTCATGCATTAGAAGCTTGATTCTCAGTATGGTGACGCTGGGAGGTGGTGGAATCTTTAAACAATGGGTTCCAAGCCAGGCRTGGTGGTGCATACCTATAATCCCTAGTGTCTCCAGAGGCTGAGGCAGGAGGATCACAAGTTCAAAGCCAGCCTCAGCAACTCAATGAGGCCCTAAGCAACTTAGTGAGACCCTGTCTTAAAATAAAAGGTAAAAAGGACTGGGGATGTGGCTTAGTGGTTAAGCACTATTGGATTCAATCTCTGGTACCAAAAAAAGGTGGGTCACAGTAGGTAGTGATTAAGTCACTGGGGACACTGCCCTTGGAAGAGATTAATCCCAATTAGTCCCCTAGAGAGTATTTAGTTCTAAAAGTGTGAGCCTTATACCTCCCCATTCTCTGGCTCCTGTCTTACCATGTGAGCTCTCCCTCCTGCATGTGCTCCAGCCATAATACTATTTTCTATGAAGTGATGCATCCAGGGGACTCTCACTGGAGGACACATTGACAAGGCTGCCTGATCTTGGACTTTCAGCCTCCAAAATTGGGAGCTACATAAACTACTTTTCTTTCTGAAGTACCCAGCTTTATGTAATTTGTTATAGCAATAGAAAATGTTTTCTCAAAATGTAGGGATCCCATTTATAGGATATTAAGCAAAATTATGGGAGGCCATTCAGACTAAGCTGTTGTATTAGGCCCCAACCAACCAGACGAAACCAAAATGAAGTCGCTCTTGCTAAATGCCACATAATCAAAYAGAAACTTAAAGGAAGAAAATATATTCCAAAACAGATTAATTTTTTTTTCTATAAACTGGAGTTTCCAGCCGATTGAGTCCATATAATAAGAAAGTCCCCTCTAGTTCAATACTTTAAAAACGTTAACTTGACATACTGATTGTAACCAATTAATTTTTTTCTTATTGTTTTGTTTTCTTGCTCCCACTTTTTAAAAAAWTTTTTTTAGAGAGAGAATTTTAATATTTACTTTTTAGTTTTCGGCGGACACAACGTCTTTGTTTGCATGTGGTGCTGAGGATCGAACCTGGGCCACAGGCATGCCAGGCGAGCATGCTACYGCTTGAGCCACATCCCCAGCCCTTCTTGTTCCCACTTTTTAAAAGTCACTGTTCTGCTATTGCCCAGTGGGAGCTCTCACTCTCTTTTATAGAATGGAGGCTGCTCTGATTCATAAATCACAAATAAAAGCCAATTAGATCTGGCCAGAAACAAAGGGCTTGCTGTAATCCCAGCTACTGGTGAGGTTGAGGCAAGAGAATCACAAGTTCAAGGCCATCCCTAGCAATTTAGGGCTTAAAGGCCCTAAGCACCTGTTTCAAAATAAAAATAAAAAGGGCTGGAGATGTGGCTCAGTGATAAAGTGCCCCTTGRTTCAAACCCTAGTACCAAAATAAATAAAGAAAAATAAATTTTAAAAAAAATTAAATCTGTAAACAGAATTGTTTCCCCATAATGACATCATTCTGGAAATGGCAAAATAATAGGTACAGAAATCAACTCAGTGTTTGCCAGAGTCTGGAATGGGAGAACAGAATCTTTTTAGGGATGGGGAATTTTTTAAAGGATGATAGAAATATTCTATCCCTTGATTGTGGTAGTGCTTACGTGATTGTTTAGGAGTCCCCCTGCTATCATTTGGACCCTGAATGTCCCCCAGAGGTCCATGTCTTCAAGGTTTGGTGCCCCAGGGCTTGCTATTTGGAGGTTCTGAAATCTTTAAAAGGTGGGGTCTAACTGGGAGGTCCTTTGGTCATTAGAGACTTGACCAAGAAGGGGATTGTGGGATCCCAGCCCCCTCCTCTTTTTCTTTTGCTTTCTGACCATGAAGTGAGCAATGTGCTCCGCCACAGGTTCCCCGATGTTACCATTCAGCACCCCCATCAGAGTCCCAAAGCMATGAGCCCACTTGCTCTTGGACAGGAACTTCCAAAACTATGAGTGAAAATAAACCATGTCTCTTTAAGAATTAATTATCATTGGCATTTGTTGTAATGTTAGAAAACTATTATAACCCTTAATCTTGATTTTGCTTTCCATGGTTTCACTTACCCAAGATCAACAATAATTCACAATATTAAATGGAATATTCCAGAAATAATTTGAAAGTTTTAAATTGTGTGCTATTATGAGTAGAGCAATGACATCTTTCATGGTACAGTCCATCCTGCCCAGGACATGAATCATCCCTTTGTCCAGCATATCCACACTTTACAGGTTTCCAACCCATTATTCACTTAGTACCCTTCCCTATCATCAGGTTGTCTGTCACAGTGCTGTGCTTGTGTTCAAGCTACATCATTTACCTCCCTTGATCTGACACAGGCATTGTATTATTTCACACCATCACAAGAAGAAAGGCAAGGACAGTCAATTAAACTTTATCTTAGGTATGTAAGTGTAGGARAAAGTCTAGTATAGATAGGATTTTGTTCTTTCAGGTATCCACTAGGGGTCTTGGAACATATCCCCCCCACACACTGATAAGGGAGCCTACTATATACATTTGTCAAAACTCAAAAACTGCACATCTGAAAGCAGTAAATTTTACTGTATTTAAATTATACCTCAATAAATTTGACTTTAAAAATATATAAATTGGGGCTGGGGATGTGGCTCAATCGGTAGCGCACTCGCCTGGCATGCACGGGGCGCTGGGTTCGATCCTCAGCACCACATAAAAATAAAGATGTTGTGTCCACTGAAAACTAAAAAATAAATATAATATAGATAGATAGATAGATAGATAGATAGATAGATAGATAGATATAGATAGATATAGATAGATTGGTGTGGTGGCACATGTCTGTAATCCCAGCTATTTGGGAGGCTAAGGCAGAAAGATTTCAAGTTTAAGACCAGCCTGGGCAACTTAGCTAGACTTTGTCTTGAAATAAAATAAAAAGAGCTGGGGGTGCTGGGGTTGTGGCTCAGCAGTGGAGGGCCCTGGGTTCGATCCTCAGCACCACATAAAAATAAATAAGATAAAGGTATTGTGTCCAACTACAACTAAAAAAAAAAAAGATATTAAAAAAAAACTGGGGATGTTGTTCAACAGCACTTATTTGGGTTCAATCCCCAGTACTGAAAAAAAAGTAGATTCCAACTTCCTCTAGACATTTTCATTGTATATGTGGCATAATATGAATATATTTGTCTTTGTCTCTAGCTCCTGTCAGAGTTTCTAAAATCCTTAAAATTTCCTGAATGTTAGGAATAGATTTATGTCAAATGTGTCCCTTTGCTAACTCCTAAATTTGTTACTGAAATGATAAGGTAACAGGGAGGGGCCAGTCACGATAAAGATCAAATGTTTAGACATTAGAGGTTTGGTAATTTCAACTCCACCTACCAACTTCCAGGAAAGAGGGACAGCTACAGAGTAAGATCTATAAAAACTCTTGAACAAGTGATTTGATAAGTTTCTGGATTGTTGAACATGGAGATGCCRATGAGAGTCCTCCCCTCCCAGATCTTGCCCTGTCCATCTCTTCATCTGGCTRTTCATCTGTGTCCTTGAGGAGATTTTTTTAATGGTACCTGTAAGTAAGGTGTTTCCCTGAGTTCTGATGGCTGTCCTAACAAATTATTGWTGTTGTCAACATAAAATGAGCTACAGGACTGACACTGCAAAACAGAGTTTATTTGGGACCATCAAGGGATTGCAATCCAGGAGATACAGGCTATGGCAGACCATAGGCATACACAAGGGCATTGAGGCAATGGTAAGGCTTTTAAAGATAAAAAGAAGGCCATGTGAGTCATCTTGAAACAAAGACCACTGGCCATAGGGAGTTGCAGGAGTTGGCATGAGCTCATTGGCAGAGACAGCCACTGTTAGGTAAGTGTCTTTGTGGAAGAGGCTTATCTGGAAAATTGAAGTTTTGAGGAGTTTCTCATATAATTCCCATTATATGCCTATGTGCATGGTGGCTCTTCCTTCAGTTTCTGACTCCATTTTGTTAGAGTTTGACACAAATTACTCCATATTGATACTGATGATTTCTACAACACAAGGAAGGGGGTTTTGGAAGTCCARTTTATAACTATTTGTTCAGAAGCACTGGCCACACAGATTAGATTAGTGTCTGAAGTCAGAGACCAGGGTCTTGTGGGACAGAGCTCTGAAACTGTGAAACCTAACCTATCTCCAGGTATATCGTGTAAGATTTGAATTATAGGACATCCCAGGTGGGGCCTATCGCAAAATTTCTTGATGTGTAGGGGAAAAAAAAAACCCATATATCAGATTGTTTTTCTTTTACACATAGCTTTTCTCATTTTGACAAGTACATCTAGCTTTAACCTTCAAATTGATTTTTACCAGATTCTAAGTTATAGAAATTTTCACATATAGAAAACTTCACATATGGGCTTTTGCCCAACCACTCAATTTTTAGGACATTTAACATAATATGATAACTAATAACAGCACTGAAAACACATTTCAAAACATGCTTTTTGATCCTCCTTTGGTAAGATCCTGACATATTTTGTTTTGCATTTTGTGTTCTAAAAAATTATTTTCATTCTACTTGAGACTCTGGTAAAATGTACATTTTAAATAACTGAGTAATAGATGATAAGAGCATTCAAATTTTTATTGTAAAACAACATAATGTTACATAAAAATGTTGAAAAAACATCATTCATAATTTCACCACCTTAGCATATATTTTCATTTCTCTATATTTTCTTAGAGATCTTTCCCATTTGCCTAAGACAAACAAGCAGGGGACATTCATTTTGCCTCTGGCAACAGAATATTAAAAGGACTCTTACACTCATTTGACAATAGGAGCTCTCATTTAGCTTATTTGTATAGGTTATGAAAGCCTTGAGGTTTTAAGATTCTCAAACAGCAATGAATAAACATATCCAAGATCTCATAGCACTTTGATGAAAACACCCAGAATCCTCTATGGAATGAGTTGGAAAATAAGTAAATCAGAGAAATGTTTTTCCAGAAATCCACCTTGTCCTCACAGACACAAGAGCCACAGSATTGACCTTGGTCAATTCCTGAAAGCCAGAGGAAACGGTATTTGAAATATGACTTTGATCTGTGTTTAATCCAGTGGAAGTTCTCTCATGCAGGGACTGTTCTTTGTACATTCCTTCTTGAATTAAAAGCTGAGTATTGTAGAAAAGCACCTGGAGATTTATAGTCTGGAAGTATTTCTGAACATCTATTTATGTAACAAAATCTGTGAAGGGTAAATATGTTGATCAGGATGTTCACTTCCAKTAAGACGTGTGCAAAGGAAATGAAGAATACTTTTTTAAGATCACAAAGTTGATAGCTGGATCATTTGAGGGTGCCTTTTCCCACTAAGTTATAAAGGCTGCACATTATCTTTAAATTTTGGCCTATTGATAAGCATTTTAGTTAGAACCTGTGAACATAAAATATCATTTAAAGAGAAGATCTGAAGCTTTTAATTCCACCCTAGATCTGATGCCACATACAGAAACAACCCCTACTGTCCTCATGTTTCCCAACATTAGGCAGCTAGTGCAGTTATAGTTCTGAGGCTGCCACCTTACTTACAGAATACCCTTCTTCCAGCCTCCGTGACAAATGACAAGGGTTTGTATGTGCAGTTTCCCAGAATCCATTTAGGTGGCCTGATTGATGGGCTAAATAAACTGTTTAAATACATATTGGGTTTTACTTTGAGTCTGAATTTAAATTCCTCATCTAATTTAAACACAATAAATAAATAGCATATATACACATTTCCTTTTCTCTTTCTCTCCCTCTTTGTGGTGCTGGGGATCAAACTCAGGACCTTGTTTACCCTTAGCCCCACCTTTGCTTTTTAAAGTCCATCCTCTAATTCTGATGTGCACTAAATCACAGTAAGCTTAGTTATTTCTGATTTTTAAAATTAATAGAGTTTTAAATAATTTCTTGCTAATTTTAGACAATAACCACTGAACTGTAAGATTGCATTCTAATATGCAACTAATAAACAGAACCCAAACAACTAATAAACAGAACCCAAAGCCAAACTAACCAGCAAAACTCTTTCTTGTTTAACTGCATTCTATTAAACGCTTTAAGCTCTAGAAGGGAACTTTGAATTATACAGTCAAAACCTCTATTTCACAAATGAGGGATTTGAGGCACTGGGAGGTCAGTACTTGTTGAGGTACTCAGAGGCAGAATTCCCTGCCCATCATGGCTGGCTGGGCCTTGGGGAAGGAGGCAAACCCCAAAGGAATGTGGATATGAATTCTATTAACATTTTATTTCTCAGATGGACACATAGGTTCACACTTTGAGGCTTGCATCCTTACAAAACATTCATTATAGAATGGAAGAGCACATTCTGAGAAGGATCCAAGTAGCTAAAAATGAATCAGAGTGCACACTGGGATACAGWATTACCAGGGTTCTCATTCAAACCTCTTCAATCAGAACTAGTTTTTTAGTCATTCAGGGTCATACAACTTTTTTTAGTCATTCAATATCACATGCTATTTATGTAGCTTACTGTAAATGTTAGATAAATCATGTTTTATTTTCAAGAAATGCTCTAATTTTATACACAAAAATATTTCCCTTTGTGGCATTTAAATGCCAGGCATTTTTCTCCTATAAATATTCTGATTACAATTATTTTTATTTTACTAATAGCAGTAGTTTAGAATTTACTCTTCTGAAAACATAGTTCTCCTGACAGGTGCCTTGACATTCCAAGTTCTTATCTTTATTGATTTTTTTTTAAAAAAATTACCATTGTATCATGGTATAGTAGAAATTTAAATTTATTTAAATTTATTATTTAAAGAAATGATTTAAGTATCAAATGTCAAAATTAAGTCAGGCTTCTATCAAAAAGCAATCTTTTGAATTGTATATAGAAAAGGAGAGCAGAAGCTCGGTGTGGCTAGCACTCGCCTGTAATTCCAGCGACTCTGGAGACTGAAGCAGGAGGATCACAAGTTTGAGGCCAGTCTTAGCAACTTTAGCAAGACCCTGTCTCAAAATTTAAAAAATAAAATGAAAATAAAAAGGTCTGGATGAATAGCTCTGTGGTAAAGCACCCTTGGGTTCAATCCCCACTACCAAAAAAAAAAAAAAAAGAAAGAAAAGAAAAAAGAAAGAAAGAGGGCAGGGAGCAATCTATTGCACAAGGCAGAAAGTGATTTTGCATTTGTCATAGCTGAAGTTCCATAGGTTAACAAGCCCAAAGGATAAATATATTTATTGTAATTCAGCCTTTTCTTTTTATAACATTTCATCACTAATTTCATTGAGCAGAGATCCTCAGAGCAGGTGCACATCTGACTGCTCTTATAATACCCAAGGAACTGGCAAATGGATGGAAGGAGTGACAAGGAAACTTGTTTGCTCTATTTACTCTCAGCGGATTACCAAACAGCAGATGGATTGTTTTTAAAACAGGTTCTACTGAATTTTTCTTTCATGACCCAAAACACCCTGAGAAGAATAGAGGTTGCAGTCTTCGAAATGGCAGAACATCTTTAGGGCTTTTTGGTTTTTAAATTTTTTTTTAGTTATTGATAGACCTTTATTTATTTATACGTAGTGCTGAGAATTGAACCCAGTGCCTCATACATGCCAGACAAGTGTGCTACTGCTGAACCCCAGCCCCAGCACCTAGGGCTTATTTTTTAGGGACCTTTTTCAACACTGGTTTACAAAGTGTCCTAGCATTCTCTTGCTTGGGAGAGGGAGAGGGCGATAGACTCATGTTGTGTTGTGTGTGGGAAATTTAAAATCTTTCTAAGTCATCTCCAAAAGCACCCTGGCAAGACAGGTGCAAGAGAATTGGAAGTGGCCCCTATTCAGACTCATCCAGATTGAGTGAAGCAGAAGGAGCTTCTCTTAGCAATTGTTATAAGAGGTTTGGTCAGCTTAAGACCTTGTGGGTTTTTTAAAAGCATGACCACAGACATAAGCTAACAGATTCTGTTTCCCTACCCGGCGCTGGAATTTATGTGTTGAAAAGGAGTGAAATTGGGCTAGGGTAGAGGATAAGGAGCAGTCCTCAGGATTGGGTGCCCAGACAGGAATCCAGCTGCTATTTGCTTCTGTCCCTTGGCCCTCCAAGCTGCTCTTGTGGAAAACTGCCAATCCTTCCACCTGATCCCCTTTCTCACTTCTGGGGTGAGAAAGAAAAAAAAATCTGTGTTGGTTTTCAGCCAAACCAAAATCTCTTGATTTTGTCCTAAATTATCTAGAAAGTTGAATGCATCTATTTTCTCAGCCTCATGTCCCCAAGAAGTGACAGAGCTTCTCTGGACCCCAAGCAGGAGGTGACAGCACTATTTAGGCAAATTCCTGCCTGGGACCAAGGGTGCTTTCCACATTTCCTTATTTATGGATCAAAAGAAGCAAAGACAGTTTACTTCTTACATTAACCTGTGATTACAGTACTGATCCTACAACCTCAAAATTCAATCTGTATTCTAGAATATAGATTTGAAAAATAGGTGCAGTTACTTATCTTGTAACCTAAGGGTACATAAAGACCTCTGACTCATTGGCACATATGAATTCGTTGTCCAATGCTTTCATGTTAAAAAACAGCTTTGATGGTACATGATGTGGTAATGTTATTTTTCTTTCAAGATGTTTATATACATATATATGTTTAAATATATATACACATATATATATTTAAAGCTTCTTAAATTTCAATTTAAAGCAGTTATATTCTAACCCAGTGTCAGAGCTCATTGACTCAAAATCTCTGTGGGCCAGTAATGCCACATGACCGGACAGTGTRGGGGTCAGGGACCAGTCCTTCTCCCTCCAAAGCCAACCATCCTATTGGCTAGCAAGCAAATTCCGAGGATAAATAGGATTAAGTGCTTCAAAGAGGATTCTCTTGCCCTCCCTCAAAGGAGGATCAAACACTCTGGTCTAGTTCTGCATCAAAAATAAGCCCCTGAGAAGGAGAAAGTGCTTGTTTACATAGCATGTGGCCTTTCCCAAAGCCTCCTCATCCTCTTTCTCCACCATCCAAGGCTGGCTGGGGAGAACTCTTCTTGGCAGGCAGGTGTGTGCGTTGGGCCCAATCCTGCTATAGCAGGTTCAACCAACTACTTTCTTTGGTTTCCTAAATAGGGTCAGATCTTGTACAGCAGCGGGAGGTTAAGACCCCAAATCTCTTTTGGTGACTAATGGATCAACTGCCATAAACTGGGCCATAAGAAAGCACTTTGTTTGAACTTCTAACTGCACATTTTCTTAAATTTAGGCCCCAAAGGACTGAGGTAATAATAATAATAATAATACCTGCTTACATCTTATTGCAATTCGTTTCTTGTCCAGGAAACAAATCAGCCACCTACAAACAGCAAAACCACCCCCCTCTTCATGCTTCATACCACCTCACCCACTTCTCCAAACTGTCCCATGCAGAGAGTGGGAGATGCCTGCAGGAGTGGGGCACCAAATTTGGACTCCGTGTGAAGACGCCCCAGTAGCACATGCGTTAACCTATTAACTCAAAGGAATCCGGGGTCACTATGGATCGTTTCTATTAATAGGGAATAAAGCTCTTGCAGATATTAGCGGTAATGCCCTGACAGCTCAAGCAAAGTTAACTCCTTCCGGGCCAGCAAAAGAAAACCATGTCCTGCCCAGGCAGAGGTGTGATAGAAATGCATATACACATGCGCACACGGTATTTTTGTGCTGCTTGCCTTAACAGGCAAGACTGCAAAGCCCATTTTGAATCTTGTTCCCGGGGAGGGAGCAGGCTGCAGGCRGTGGGTAGGGGTGGCCGTCAGGCGTCAACCTAGCTTTACCACGCTCAAGGCTAGGGCCACAGCCGCCAGCAGCACGGCGCTGAAAAGAGTAGCAGCCAAGGCCTTGCTGGGGTTGCAGGATCTCGAGCGCTCTTCTACAGACACGGCGCCGACGGAGGAGGCGCCCATGCTGTTACTGGACAGTAGTTCGGCGCCCGCGGTCTGCTGGGCCTGTACTGTCCAACGCGGCACGTTGACTTTCATTTCCATGTCGTTGATCATCTCGCCCACCAGAAGGACCTCGCGCTCCAACTCCTTCAGATCTGAGACGTCGAAATCGCGTTCAGCCTGGTGACTTAGGCTGCGGGCACTCAAGGCGCGAGCTGCTACCCGGGAGGAATCACCAGTTACACCGGTGCGCACAAGTGGCCGCAGAGGCGTATGCAGCGGGAACGCGGCTCCCAGCGCCAGTGCGCGTTGCATGTCGGCTTCCAGTATGTCCAGACAACCAGAGAAGGCCACCCAGAGGCGCTCAAATTCCGCGCGATCCTCCGCGGCCAGACTCCGGTTGCGCAGCGCAACAGTCAGCCGGGCACCAGTGGTCACCGCCAACTCCCGCGCCTTCTGGCGGGTCTTCTGTAGTTCCTCCCTCAGGTTCTGTGAGTCCGCTGAGCCGCCGACGGTCAGCACCAAATGGTGGTAGCAAGCGGTGGTCTTGTTGAGCGCGTCTAGCAGCGCCTTGCATTCCTCTCTGGCCATGGTGGTGCGCTCCGTCGGGATCCAGCAGCCCGCACTCCTCTCACACCTTCAGCGCGGCAGGACGCTGCCAGCCCAGATGCCACCTTTGAGGTGAGCGGTCCGAACACTCTTCATGGCCCGTGATTCGTTCCGCGTTTCAGCAGCTAGCCACAAAGCTCTCCAAGGACTCGCGACTTGCACCTCCAAAGACCCAGCGCGGAGAGGGAGTTGAGTCAGCTGCCTCCCATTCGCTTGTTCATTCTTTCCAGACGCGCTCCGAGGCACACACTTATCTTTGCACGACTCTTGCTTTTCCAGCGGCTCCCTGAGAAGCTCGGAGAGCGGACCCCATCCTCCTCTAGAACCACCCCAGGGCTAGCGGGCCGCCCAGCTGTGCGATTAGCCTTAGTCGCTGCCAAGGGCAGCCGGATCGGGTTTCGTAGGACCCGCCCACCCCAGTCCTCGCAGTGTGCTTCCACCCCCTGGACCAGGAGTAGGCGGAGCCCCGCTCGGGGAAGTCACGTGTGGTCTAGCATCTCTACCTCCTTTGTACCCCATTACAGTTCTGGAGTGTTAAGACCAGCAGTTACAACCTTTCTTTATTGTGCAGATGATGAAACTAAGTCAAGAAGAACTGGGTAAAAAGAAGGCTTAGTTCATGCAGAGTCCATGCAAGCGAAGGGACTAGAACCCAAGGACAGTGACTCCCAGATCCTCTAGGCAACAAAGTGATGCGCCTCGTAAGACTGGGTACTTAAGTCCCGCAAAGCGAGCAGCGACTAGCAATCCGCCCGGTGGGACAATTTCCCCACGGGGTTCTTTTTCCCCCTCGCAGTCCAGCCTCCTTTCAAAAAGCTAGCTTGGACCCCACCCCTAGTGTCAGACCTGCCCTCGGGCCCGCCCCTTCCATTCTGGGCACGCGCAGTCGTTGATTCTGGGCGGGGCTTCTCTGAGTAGGAAGCGCTGTGAGTTGCCTGAGTACCACCCCCGGCTGGGCCGGACTCAACGATTGCTTCACGTACACGTCACTCTGGATAAGGACGGCCGCTTATTGGACCGGGCGGGCTAAGGAGCGGCTCCGCCCAACGGCGGTGTAAAGGGGTGGGTTGTGGAGCCGAGCTGCCGCACGGGGTGGTGGGCACTGAGGTCCCAACAGAGGGCCTGGGAGGTGCTGCCGCAGCCCAGAGATGGGCTGGGAGTGAAACTATGTAGCCTCTTAAGTAAGTGTCCACCAGCTTGTCTCGTCTCGAGCCTTCGTTCTCTCGGGACCGCGTCGCCTCGGGGCCCTGAGGCCGGGCGGGGCCCGGGAGTGCGAAGGGGGAGGGGCTCCCTTCTCTCGGAGCCGGCGCCCCAGGCTGGGCTTCTGGGCCCCGGACGGCCCTGGCCGCCTCCTCCCGTTCGGGTCCGCAGCCGGGCGCGCTGTGCCTACTACGCTCCCGTGTCGAGAGGGAAGGGGAGGGCGGTGCGAAGAATGCGTCCTCTGACCCCCGCGGTCTGGGACAGGCCGGCGGGTCAGGGGTGCGGGGAGCTAGAACTTGGGGTAGTGGGCGGGGACGGTAGCTCACGCGTGGAGTCGCTTCCGCGGTTTCCTAGCGGCCTGGGGGGACTGGGAGGGGGAGGCTGGGGATGCGAGTTGTGGTCCTGGGAGACGACGGAAGCAGAGCGGGGAATCTCTGCTTGCTTGCCTTTCTTGGAGCGGGGTCTCCTCGCCCACCTACGTGAAGATTACTGGAGGAAAACTCTGAAGCACCAAGAGATGTTCCAAACTCTGGGTCTGTTTAGTTTAGTCGTTGAAGATGCCCAGCGGCGCGCTGGCTCTTCGAGCCTTGCTCTTCTGGCTGCCGCTCGAAGTGCAGGGGATGTGGGCACTCGCGGCCCATGGCGGTGGTGGGAGCAAGTGGTACATCTTCACTGTGGGTTTAGGACCTTAAGGGAACGAGGGGTTGCAAGACTTGGGGGACTGTTAGGGTGCACGTGAGCTGAGATTTTCAAAGTTTATGGGTTTCATGGAGAGAGGGCCTTGTTTTGATGAAATATTACACCTTTCCCGCTGGCCCTAGAATATAGCAGTGAACATGAGCAATTTGAGATTCCTACGTGGGCCTTAGTATTGTGACCCTCAAGAGGATCTGGAGTGCTGAGTCAGTCCTAGGACTTGCTCTCACTCAGTCTGTCCCTAAACCTTCCCGCGGGCTATTTGGGAATAGAGCTTGGGCGCTCTGGCCCTTGGCCATTCACTGGGGAGGAGGGTCTCAGTCACCCAATGGCCCTGGGGTWGTTTTCAGAACAAAATGAGTGGAAGAAGGGAAAACCCATCTGTTTGGAGAGCTTTGGGAACAGCCAAGGATGAGGAGGCTAGAAAGGTGGGCCGAGGCCTGCTGTGAGAGGCTTTCAATACCTAACAGAGTCCTCACTGTTGGAAAGATCACTTTGCTGAATTTCAGGAAATCCAGGAGGCAGAAGCCTTAGGCTTTGGAGGAGGAGATAAGAGAATGGAGCAGGAGTGTGTGCTTCTTCTCAACGTCTATCGGCAATAAAGCCTTCCCACCCTTGACTTGTCACCTGAAATAATACTGCCAGGCAGCTTTACTGGGAAAGCAGGCAGTAGTATCTGCATAGGGTTTGGGGTCACCATCTTGGCTGTGCCTCCATATACCTATTGGACTATTTGCCTTTATATGGGAGCTGCTGGATCTTTGTTATTGGTGCATCCATGTGCTGTTTAGTGTTTCTGTGGCATCTGCCCTGTTTGCACTTTCCATGGTTATTAGTTGCCAGCATTTGGCTCGTGTCCAATAACTTCAGCCTCTCATAGATTTGCGGAGGAATGTGACTACATGATGATACCAGACCTAGAAAGGATTTAATCCAGAAAAATTCAGTCCTCATTTGCCCTGAGGTTCTTTCCATATCTGAGAGATACTGAGAAGTAGCCCTTAGAGCACCTGCCCTTTAACCCAAGATACTGGCAGAGAGATGGGTGAATGATGGTTCTACCTGCAATTCTAGGAGCAGTGTGAGGGGTAGCATTCTCCTCACCCCGCCTTTTTTTGTGGTATTAAGGATCAAACTCTGGGCCTTATGCATGCTAGGAAAGTGCTCTACTATTGAACTACCCAAGTATCTGGGATTACAGGTGTGGGCTCCTGTGCCTGTCTGATTGGGTGTCATTCTGAGAGGTGGTTGTGTTCTTCCAAATCTGCCTGCTGTCTCCATGGTCCCACCCTGCTTCTAGGCATGAGACTTTTCTCCCTCTCTTAATGCTGCACATTCCAGCTGTCATTGTGTTTGTTTGGGGGTTTTTGCCTTTGTGCCTGCTTGGCTACTGCCTGGGCTAGCCCCTCACCTATGCTGTTAAGGGCAGTGGCTTTCCAGATCCTGTGAGAGATGATCTCTCTCTGAGAGGTTGATCTTCTTCTTTTTTTATTTATTTTTTGAATTTTTTTTGAGTTTCTTCTTAACACCTCACTATCATTTTGTTCAATTAGATAAATAGTTGCTTCCTTCCTAAGGTGAGCCAGATGCAGGGCTGAGTGTTTAAAGTGGAGCTTTAAGAAAAATATGGACAGGATCCATAAATGTTACAGGCCAGAAGGACATAAGTGAATATAACAGCATACATTACATCATCCAGTTGCTTCCACTGGTATTAAAAATAGATGAAAAGAAATTTTTTTCCCCTTCTCTTTTGGAATCACAAATTAAACCAACTGGAGAATGTTGCTCATCATTTGTGCTTGGTAAAGTCTTTGGTCAGGGGCCTGGAAGGATGGAAGCAGCCACAAGGGTGAGATTTTGGCAGGGAGTGCATCTCTGGGAGGTAGAGACTTCTCTGTGCTGGATTCTGCTGAGCCAAGCTGCACTCTGTCACCAGATGGTTCCTGACTACCCAGACTTAACCGGACTGGCAGGGTGGTCGAAGACCACAAAACCATGAGTGTGCACACTGCCTTCCCAAATGCCCATACTAATTTGAGGCCTCATATGTCTTTCCTATTCATAGAGTAACTTTGATAACTCACATTGGGGGTATTTGGTATCTCTAACCAATTGCACTGGATTTGTTGTAAATGATGCCATCATTTTGAGCTCAGGCAGGGATGCTATTTGTTTTTTTAAAGGAGTTTTCTAAGAGAATTCACTTTCCAGTTTTATAAGGAAAATTTGTTTTTATTTGTGTGTGTATTTTAAAATGAAATGCTCATTCTTGGAAATAAATTTATCAGAGCATTAAATAATTTTAAGCAGTTATCCATATATATCAATTGAACTTTGACATTAACCCCGGGATTGTACTTGATTACTGCATATTGTTGACTCTAGGACAGAAAAGTTGAGGACAGTGCTGGACAGAGCTCTTTGAATCCTCCCAGACAGGGTTTCAGGTGTTGGTGACCGGGGGACTGAKGTCTAAGAGAAAGCAGATGACTTGGGAAGATAACAGCAAGCTCTCTCTGCTCAAGCAGCAGTGCTAAGAAAGAAMCTTGTGTGCTTACACACTTCACATGTGTGACCTCAATGTTTTGATGTGGCATTCAGGGCCTTCCTTTTCCTTGCTGTTCTGTCCCCCTCTGACCTGCTGTGCTTGGATTCTTTCTTCCTTTTTTTTTTCTTGTGATGCTGAGGATGAGCCCAGGGCCTTGTGTGTGTGTGCTCTACCACTGAGAGCTCCACCTCCACCTCCGCCTCCAGTCTTCTGCTTGGATTCTTATGATTCTTTGGACTCATCTCCTCCTTTAGTTAAAAAAATAAAAAAATTTTACTCTTGGGTTTTTGTGTCCACATGGAACCTGTCCCTGCATCCTAAACCTTTGGTTCCTATGTTGTCCCTGCCAGGCATGACTCCCCCTCTCCACCTGTTCCCCTTTCTGTGCTGCTCCTATTTCTCTCTGTCCCTTCCTCCCAGCTGGTTTGTTAGTTCTTCCACAGAAGCGCTCCCTTGACACTTTCGTCTTGGGAATGGAGGTTTGGAGCTCTGCCAGCACCTTGTCTGAGGAGCAGGAGTGCCCTTTCCCAGCTTTAGTCTGATCGTACTTTGCATCAAGTTTCTCACATGGTTTTTGTCCAAAGCACCTTTACTCTTTCACTCTGCCAGATAGAACCAGCTGTGTTGGGAACCATGAAAAATGTTATTCTTTGTGACTGTCCTGGCAAAATTGCATCATTCAGTTGTTCTGTTGGGGACTCATGAAAGGATTATCTGGGTTCTAGTAATAATTGAATTCAACAGTAAAGTACCTGAACTGGTGCACAGCTCTCCCTAGGGCCCAAGAAGGGATTATTTGTAGCCATTTTTATGTTAGACTCTTCTTCCTAAGAGGATTTGCAAGAGCTCAGGGGCTTCCTTTTGGCAGCCCCCAGCCCCCAGGGAGTCTGCAGCCAGGACAGCTATGGATGGATAAAAGAGATTTGGTGTGGAGCCTGTGTGGCTGTCATCCAGGTAAATAAAGCATGGCTCCTATCTATTTGTGGCTCATGAAATAACCCCTTTCCAAGCATATTTACATCATGGACAAGGTAGTTAAAGGGACAAGTTTTAGAATAAGTTTTGACATCTGTGCCACCTTCAGGAGCTAGCTAAATCTCAGTTTCTTCATATGTGACATGGGACTAATAATATCTTACCTGGAGTTATTTTCAGTATTAAAATGGGATGAGGATGTATAAAAGTTATCAGTGCCTGGAACAGGGATATTCACAAATGGTGGCTGGGTTCTCCTCCCGCCCCCAACCCCGTGCTGGGGATTGAACCCAGGGCTTTGCGTATCTAGACAAATGCTCTACCACTGAGCTACATCCCTATCGCTGTTTTTTCTTTAGTTATCAAGGATAGAATTCATAATGCCTTTAAGCAAAATGTTCTGGTGTCTTCCCAAGGCAGCATTAGAGAATATTGTTACATAGTGAGACAGTAACTTGATTTTTCATTTATATTTCGTTCATCTGWTTGTATCAAGAGTAATAGTGTCCTCTGATAGCTGCTAATTTTTTCTTTATGATTGAGAGAAGGCTTCAGGTTTCAACCCAGAAGCTCTAACTGGCAACAGTATCTAGTAAGGTGGGGTTTTTGTGGTGGGTGGTTGTTTTTTTGGTACTGGGGATTGAACCCAGGGACACTCTGTCACTTAGCTACATCCCCAGTCCTTTTTATTTATTTTGAGACAGGATCTCACTAAGTTGTCAGGGCTTGCCTTGAACTTGTGATCCTTTTGCCTCAGCCTTCTGAGTAGCTGGGATTACAGGTGTGCACCACTGCACCCAGCTTCTAGTGAGTTTTTTTTTAACATTTAAAATTTTTTTAAAATACATTTTTTAGTTGTAGATGTATACAATACCTTCATTTTATTTAGGTATGTGGTGCTGAGGTTCAAACCCAGTGCCTCACACATGCTAGGCAAGAGCTTTACCACTGAGCCACAGCCTCATACCCTCTAGTAAGGTTTTAAATAACATCAATTGTTTTGAAATTTTTGAGATTATCTTCTCTTTATGGGAAATGATTATTTAATGTTGTGGGGTTTTTTTTTTGAAGGAGATGTTTAAAGGAACATATTAAATAACAACTATTATGTATAAGTGTGCAAGTTATTCATTGGTCAGGGATACTTGGCCAGCAGAGTTGGCAAACTTTGGCCTGATACACAGCCTCTGAGTTGCTTACCACACCTTGTGCCCTGGCACAGGACTGCATGCACTGGGAATAGAGGTGCCCTTTTCTAATTCTTACAAAGACACCGYGTGAGCCAGCAGAAACTGGGTAACTGGTGGTTCATGGGTTTGCAGTATGTCAAAAATAGTGAAGGTGACATGTAAATTATTCTTGTGAGGATCCTGCAGGCAGATTCTCCACTGCACATACTGAGGTGGAGGCTCAGATAGGTGGAATGACATGGTTACAAATCTGATCTCTTTTTCTCTGCCCATTTTGTGGATTATCCTTCTGATAACTCAGTAGCACACTGACCGGACAGTGGAAGATCAGTTGTGGAATGTTTCTACCATGTGTTCACATTAAATAGCAGCAATAGWGGTTCACAGACAGCAAGATCCTTAAAATAGCTTGTTTCCCAAAGTGAGTTAAACATTGATCTGAAGTCTTTTTTCAACCATAAATCACATCAGGGTCAACTCTGGCTGCAGAAGTCACAGTTGTGAAGGTGACAGTGTGTTCTTCACTGATTCTTATTTGATCAACTCGGATAAAAGTCTATTTGGCTTTTGTTTTCAAAAGGTATACAAAAATAAATTTAGTTTTTTTAAAAAAAAACCATTTACAACAGTGGCAAAATCTACATAGCTTATATAAATAATCTAATAAAAGTTGTATATATGGGCTGGGGTTGTGGCTCAGCGATAGAGTGATTGCTTAGCACATGTGAAGCCCTGGGTTCGAGTCTCAGCACCACATAAAAAAAAATAAAAGGCATGTGTTCAACTACAAGTAAAAAAGAAAGAAAAGTTGTATATGTTTTATATGTGATCCTTATGGAAAAACTTTAATTGAAGGACATAGAAGAAGACCTTCATGGAGAGATGTACCATGTTTGTAGATGATAARATTCATTATTATAAATGTATTGACCTTCCAGCCCATGAATTAACTGCAGTTCCAATAAAAATTTCAATGGGCTTTTTCATGGAATTGACAACCTGATTTGAATTCATTATAAAGAATGAGGAATAATCAGACATTTTAAGACAATAAGGCAGGAGGAGGCCTTTCTCTGTGAGATATCAGGGCTTAATATGAAGCTGTAGTTAAGTGAGATAGGATGTAGTCTTGCTTTGTCTAGTACTACTGGCCATATGTGACTATTGAACACTTGAAATGTGGCTAGTATGAATTGAGAAACTTTGCAGGAGTAAAAAAGTTGTAAAATATATCATTAATTTAAAAATAATTATTACATGCTGAAAATCTAATATTTTGGGTATATTAATATATGTAGTTTGGTATGGTGGTACTTGTCTGTAATCCTAGTTATTCAGGAGGCTGAGGCAGGAGGATCAAAAGTTTGAGGTCAGCCTCGACAGCTTAGACCCTGTCTGTGAATAAAATAAATAAATAAACAAAGGGGTGAGGGATATAGGTAAGTGGCAGAACACCCATTTTTAATCTTCAGTATCAGAAAAAAAGATATAAAAGTGTGTTAAAATAAATTTTACCTATTTCTTTTTAAATGTGCCTACTAGAGAATTTTAAATTACATGTGTGCCAGGCATGATAGCCTCCTGCTGTAGTCTTAGCTACTTGGGAGGCTCAAATGGGAGGATAACTTGAGTCTCAGTGGGTTGGAGCCCAGGCTGGGTGACATAGTGAGACCCCATCTCAAAAAAACAAAGCAAAACGAACAAGAAAATTACATATCTAATTATATGTGCCGTACATGTAATTGTATTTATCATGTATTTCTATTGGGCAGTGCTGGCCTAGACTCTTAAAACCCAGAAACAGGCCATACACGCATGGGAATTGAAGTGTGACAAAGATAGCAGTATCAACCAATGTGAAAGGAGAATGTTCAAAAAATTGGGACAATTGGTTTACCATATGGAAAATAAATTTAAATTCCTAATTTATAGTATATGCAAAAATAAAATCCAGATGGATTGAAGACTGAAAGATATGAAAAACTTTTTTTAAGATTCTTATAAATTATAGGGAGTATATTTAAGGCTTTGAAGTTGGAAAGAATGTGGTTTCAGATAGTCTTTGCTGCATAACAAACTGACCAAAAGTTGGTAACTTAAAACTTCCCCAATTTCATTACTTCCCACTCTTCTGTGGGGTGGCTAGGGGGCCTTCTGGTGGTTTCACCTGGGGTTGCTGGTGTGGCTGCATCTGCTGGCGAGTTGGCTGTGCTGTCTGGACCATGTGCCCCCCACACCCCACTCCTATGGTCTTTAATCCCATGGGCTTCCTTCGAGCATACTGGGCTTGGTGTTCCAAGAGAACCAGAGTGAAATCTGCAAGGCCTCTCAAGTTTGATGCTCTGAAATCACATAGCATCACTTCTGTGTGTTGGCTGAAGCAGGTCATGGGTTGAAAGCTGGCTCAGATTCAAAAGGCAGGGAAATAGACTCCCCCTTCTATAGGGGGAACAGTGAATTCATTTTGCAAAGGGGTATGCCAGAGGATAGGCGCAGATTTCTTAAGATCCAAAAGGTACTGACCATAAAGGTGAAGATTAGCAAATCCATCTATATTAAAATAAACTATTTCTGAAAACAATAATTTGGAAGAATTAAAAGATAAGTCATAGCTGGAAGCAGTGGTTTGTGCCTGTAATTCCAGCTACACAGGAGGCTGAGACAGGAGGAAAAAAGTTTGAGGCCAACTTGGGCAACATAGCTAGACAGTGCCCCCCACACCACCCCTCCACTTAAAAAAAAATCAAGTCATAGGCTGGGAGAAGATATTCACAACATATTTACTATCTAGAGATATACATAACTATGAATCATAAGGGAAAAAAGGCCAACAACCCATTACAAAAGTGGGCAAAAGACATAAAGCAATTTATAGAACATGAAGAATGATGTTTGACTTCACTTAATTCTCAATTTTCATTTTTCTAACTTCATTAGAGAAAAATGGTGCATTCTAGTTTATACTTACAGACTGTCTTAGTCCCTTCAGGCTGCTGCAACAACCCCCCCCCCCCTCCAGCTTGGGCATCTTATAAACAACAGAAATTTATTTATCACAGTTCTGGAGGCTAGGAAGTACAAGATCATCCAGGCACAGTGGATTCAGTGTCTGATGAGGGCTGGGTGCTTCCTCGTTCCTAGATGGCTGTCTTTTCTCTAACTCACAGGGCAGAAGGAGCTAAGGAGCGCTCAGGCCTCTTTATAAGAGCACAGATCCCATTCATGAGGGCTCTGCTCTTGTGACCTAATCACACTCAAGGATTCTACTTTCAAATACCATCACCCAGAGTTTAGGATACACTGGGGGAACCTAGACCTTCAGACCATCGCACAAACTGACAAATAATCTGATGAAGGGCTGGGGATGTAACTCAGTGGTAGAGCATTTGCCTAACATGGGTAAGGCCCTGGGCTGTATCCCCAACAAGGCCAAGAAATAACAACAACAACAACAACAAATCTGATGATACAAGGAATGTTGGTCAGCGTATGACCTGATAAAGGGAATGGGGGTAGAAAGTGGTCCTGTGTTGTCAGCATCTGCCACAATTGCAGGTGACTGCACCTTTTAGTGCTTTTCCTAGGGGCATGCTTCAGTGTGTGGAACACATACAAGGCTATAAGGGTGTTCTTGYGCCATTGATTATAATACTGAAAGGTGGAAGCAACTTAAATATGGGATGTTAGATAAACTGTGACACATTCACTTACAAGAATTCTATATAGGAGGGGCTGGGGATGTGGCTCAAGCGGTAGCACGCTCGCCTAGCGTGCGTGCG